GACTCCCCTCTAAATCATGTGTGTGTGCACGCACCCCCATCAGCAGCATCAACAGCATCAACCTCTCCATCAACATTCATCATCGCCACCGCCATCACCATAACGTATGATGTCGTATCATACCATGCCAGAATATATCATAGCAGACTGCATCATAATGTATCATAGCGTAGCATACCATACCATATAATACCATATCATACCAAATCAACCACATCATTATCATCATCAGCATCATCATCCGCAACTTCATCCTCATCCTCAACCTCATCCTCATCCTCCGCCGCCTGCCCCTCCCCCTTATCATGACCATGCTATCATCATCATTGGCAGCAGCATCAACATCAGCATCTGACTCACCAATGTCATCCGTATTGGTATCCGCATCGCCATCAACATCATTGTATGCCAGCCGATCCTGGTAACAATGCTCCGACCTCCTCCCACACTAATTATACTGTATCCCCCCTCCTCCTCCTACTGGTCCTACTTTTGGGCGTCCTGAACATCATCGTCATCCCCCCTCCAGCTCCTCCACCCCCTCTTCATCCTGATGTTCCTCAACCTCCCCATTCTTCAGCTCCATTCTCCTCACGAGAGGTGTGCAGAAAGGCATGCGCACTTTCTGGTTAGACTGCTGCCAGGACGATGGCATGCATCGGATAACACAATAGCCGCCACGCCGACTACCATACGTAAGAGTGTGGACAATCGAACGCACCATTGCGTGAATCGCACGAGACAGTTTTTTGTTTCTTTTTCCTGAAGCTTCGGTATGAATTCTGGGTCGGTCCTCTGTAATCCACATCGCTGTAACAGCGTACGCCATGCTACTAATGCTACCCTTGGGATAAAGTGCCTCCAGTAGTACATCTTGAAGCGCGTATTCCATTCTCTCGAAGGACATTGCTCCCAAACCTAGTCATCCTGAGACAGGAGTAGGCAGTGGTGGCCTGCAGCTTGAGTTCCACATTATTTGTTTGGCACATCTTGCGGTCACTATTCACTACATCGAAACATTCAAATCTGCAGCGTCAAAGCTCGAAAGGCTCGCCGAAGTGTCACCGCGGGATAAAGGAACACCATCGGCTTGAACACCAGATCTCTAATCCACGTTAGTCTGGGCCGGCGGAGTGGGCGGCCAAAACCGATCGCACTCGAGTCGCCAGGCGCCGCCGAACGCGGATGAAAATCAAGCTTGGTACTAAGACTACTGCCCAACAAAATCACCAACATGACCGTACATGTTCGGTTGGGAGGTACTCGGCAAACCCACCGGTCGAGCTCTCCCCATCTCCCACCCCATCACCCTCCCTCCTTCGGAGGAGCGAAAGACGCATACAGTCAGAGCACTGCCAGAAGGAACGCTACATAAGGAACGAAGCCCCTTTTTCCCTACCTAGGCTCTGCCTAGAGAGTTCTTACTCTCTTTCTTAAAGCGGCCGGGCAATGGAAATCGCCCCGGGCGGTTCCCCCGGTATCCGCCCCGCGGTTCCCCCTGTCCCCTGGGAGCTTTAGTTTTGGCTTTAGCTTTAGCTGTAGCTTTGGTTTAGCTTTAGCTTAGCTTTAGCTTAGCTTTAGCTTAGCTTTAGCTTAGCTTTAGCTTAGCTTTAGCTTATAGTTAGCTTAGCTTTAGCTTAGCTTTACCTTAGCTGTAGCTTGGCTGTACCTTAGTGTTAGCTTAGCTTTAGCCTGGCTTTAGCTTAGCTTTAGCTTAGCTGCAGCTTTGTTTTAGCTTAGTTTTAGCTTAGGTTTATCTTAGCTGTAGCTTAGCTTTAGCTTAGCTTCAGCTTAGCTTTAGCTTAGCTGTACCTTATTGTTAGCTCAGCTTTAGCTTAGCTTTAGCTTAGCTTTAGCCTAGTTTTAGCTCAGTTTTAGCTTAACTTTAGCTTAGCTTTACCGTTACTACTAATGCTGCTTTCCTAGGGGCTCCAACTCCTAGGTAGGGTCGCACTGGGATAATTCAAAATCAAGTCATGCATGTCTGACAAACGGCCGAGCTCCTACCTGGAAGCGTTCCCTCGTCGTTGCCTCTCGCTTTGGAAGTGACCTCTCCCTCTGCCGAAGCCTACGGAACGGGCTTCCTAGCAAAATTGCGAGGGAACGCAAGGCAGACCCAAGGAACCACTGAGCCCCTTCCGAAGCCGAACTGGACCTAATCTCAGCGCCATGACTGTACACATACACGTCGGAGGCCTGTATGGGCGTCTTGGGTCGGCGCTGGACCCCGTTCCCCTGGGGCGCGGAGCTCAGCTGGAGGGCGCAGCAAGCCAGGAGCGGCGCCGGAGGCGCCGCCACGGAGATCGCGCCGACCCAAGGTATCCGCGCGGACCCCCACATGTTGTTTATGATGGGGGCACTTCATGTTGCGTGGGCGCATTGCATGGGCACATTGCTTGGCGGTACCTGGCACTATTTTGCGTTGCTTGGCATTTCTTGGCGCTGCTTGACATTAGGCAAGCCTCAATTGGAAATAGCCAGGACAAAAAACCCAGCAACCCGAGGAACGCACAGTAACACCAAGGAACCCACAGCAAAATAAACAATACGAAGGACCCCCCAAGGAACGCACAGTAAGGAAACAAGAACAAGGACCCCAGAGGAACGCACAGTAAGGAAGATAGACCAAGGATACCCGAGGAACGCTGGCTGGCGCAGGCCTCGTACCCGCTGGTTGTTTCAAACGCAAAACGATACTCTTAGGCAAAGCCTACTTTGGGCACGGTCCCCCTGTACCTTCTTTCCACCACCCTGCGTCACGTTCACATTCCCTCCTCCTTGCTCCCACGCCGGGGAAAAAGTCTCCTACATCCCCAGGAACCCACGGCCAGTCTGCCCCCTCGGGCCTCCAACCTCAAAGCCCGTACATGAGGTCCCCACGCCCCTCCTGAGCATGCACGGATAACCCCACAAGGTTCACCAGAGTCCACCAGGACCGGCGCTCAAATCTCAAGACATCCTGTCTCTCTCACTCCGCGAAACCTCCACAGTCGAACGCAGGAAAAGCCTGCGGTTTCCTACACGCCACGCCGGGCGTCGAAGGCACTGCTCGCACAAAGAAACTGCGGTGTATGTACATAGCGACAAGCTTGGGAGCTCAAACAACTTGCGCAATGATATGCCGCAAGGAGCTCATATGATTCACCGATATGCCTGCGCCAGGCGCGAGGCCAACGCTCGGCACGTTGTGAGACACCATTCGGCACGAATCGCCCTTGCAATACCGCATTGCATCGGCTGCGGTCTGGAATCATGTCAGCGCCGCGCTCACTCACAAGAAGTTGACTGGCAATAATGAAATACATAATTCTACCTTGGAGGATCCCCACAAGGGTGTGGCTGCGAATGATTTCCAAGTCTGCCACCTGTGACGCTACTGCGCGCCATGTTGCATATTTGTTTGTGTATGGTCGTTGCGCATTGTGGTTGTGCTTGGTATGTGACAGTGCTGCTTGATGTGAATTAACTGTGGGCGCCCGCTGAATGTGATTCGCGTGCGTGCTATGATGATGGCAACAAGTCAATATGCACATATCTATGTATGTGTGTGTGGCCTCCTTATGCGCAAAAGGAGTGCCGACTAGGTTTGGCCTGATGGGTTATGTTGGTGTTTGGTTTTTCCCTCAGGAGGCCATCTATAGCGATTGACAGATGCTAGTGGTTCGTGCTGCTGATACGCGCTCTGAATGTAGGGGCCCTGGTGCCCGGTTGCTCTCTATGTTTATGCGTCTAAGTAGCTCTAGTTCATGGGTGTGTGTCAGTGCGTGAAGCTGTCGCCTATTCCCAAAGTGAGATCATGATATACCTTAGAGCTGCATGTTACTGATGACTGTCACGTGTGAATGTCTTAGAGTGTGCTTGCTGTCTGTGCGCTCAGAGTCTGCTAGTGATGTGCGTTCATAGGCTGTGTTATTGATGTGTGCGCTCATGATGCTCATGAGTCGCCTCTAGTGCGTGTACCCATGTAATTGATGTATGTGCCTGGCGTCTGACCTTGATGCATGATTGTTGTATGTTCTGGCGGCAAGTTCATAGTAGTGGTCAATAACGTGTCATCGGTGCACGAGGTTGATGCACACCGTGGAGTTAACTGTTCGTGTCTGCGTGTCGTATATGTGTGCTGATTGGAATGCGTCAGTCTTGCATGCTGCGTTATATGTTTCCAAGTGCTGCCATTAGTGCATAATCCTGGTGTGAGTCATGAACATGTGTTTACGGTGTACATTGTGTGTTTGATGTGGTGTCGTGGTGCTTGGTGTTGATGCCTGCTCTCTGTGTATGTAATTGGTGTAAGTGCTGATGTGTTGCGTGGGTGCGTGCCTTTGCTGTGTGCTGTTGTTAGTGCTGCCGGTTACTGATGGATATCCTGAATGATTGTTACCAGCGGATGTTCTGGATCATTGTTGCTGATGTATGATGTTGGTGTCTGTTCTTGGCGTGTGGTCTTGATGGCTGCTCTTCATGCTCTGTGGACGGTGTGGCGCCATGACGCCTTGGGCCTGGCCGCCGCGGCATGCAGGGCTGGTGAGGCGGGAGAATCGGGACATTCGGGGGTCCTGGGGCATGGGCGGCCGCGGCATGCAGGGCTAGCGGGCGGGCTGTGTCATTAAATCTACAAGCCCCCAACTGTCGGGTGTGGAGGTCCGCGCGGATGTCTTGGTTCGGCGCTGGGCCCCCCTCCTCTGGCGCGCGAAGCGCGTCAAGGGGAATCGAGCGTCGTCCCAAGTAATATAATGCGCTTAAACCTCCGAAGGTGTACGGTTTACGCGGGGGTTAGCCGGTTCGCTGGAAAGCAAGGCGAATCCTGCCAGAAAGAGCTGCACGCCTGGGCAGCCGGGAAAGACCCGGATGCGCCCTGCCACAGGGCACCAACGCGAAAAGCCCCTGGACGGCCCCGGGACACAACGGAAACGGAAGAGAGCAGCTCGGCCACGCCCCGCCGGGGCTCTTGGCGGCCCTGGCGCGGTCGCAGCCGCGGCCCGCGAGCGCGAGGGGGGGCATCACTCGTCGCTCTCCTGCGGGGATCGCCCTTGCCCCGTACTGGCCCAGGCCCCTAGGCGGGAGGTGAGAGGGAAAGACCCCGTGGAGAGGAGAGAGGGGGGAGAATGAGAGAAGAACGATGGGGGATGAGGGTCGCCAGACGCCTGAGGCCTTGCCCCGCCCAAGCCCATCTTATTCCACCGCTTTGAGTCCCCCTCTGTTCGCAGAGTCGGCTGTCGCACCGAACGTAGATCCCTGGATGGCATCTGCCGTGGTCAACCCGTCGCATACTGCACAAGGGAAGCGCAGGGAGGTCGGGCGGGAAGACGCGCCAAATCGGGCAACGCCGCGGACGAGGCAGGCACGAGGTGGACGGCGAGGAAGGAGGGGAACGACGAGGAAGGAGGCGAAAGGAGGAGGGCGGCGACAAAGAGGGCAGGACGACGAGGAAGGTCGGCGGGACGACTCGAGTAGGAGACCGACTATAGAACAGACATGTCCCAAAGTTGAAACTGTAGTCGAATCTTCGAAACAAAATGAAGAATGCCCGTAGATCAACGAACATTCTACATGTTTCCGTAGACCCAACGAAAAAACAACAATTCTGGGGCAAGTCAGTTCTGCAGTCGATCTCCTACTCGAGCGGCGAGCCCCGACGCCCACCGGCGCCGGGGGCTTCGGGATCCCCTCGCGGAGGGTCAGCGGCCGCAGCAGGAGGGGAGCTGCGCGCATTATGTGGCAACTCATGGAGCTTCCCATACCATCTTGTCGGCTTCTGCGAACCACGCGAGCCGACGCTCATCGGCACCAAATCGATGCTACTAGACGGTCGACGCTGCATCGATGATAATCGACGCTAGTCGACGCTAAATCGGCCATATCGCATCAATCACCCGACGCTAATCGACGCCAGTGCACTCTAGAGACGGATTCGTGAGGGTGCACAAGGCTCCCATGATCTGCTGCAGAACGCGCACACAAGGATCGGCGGCGCGCCCCAGGGGGTAGGACAGAGGCGGCGGGCCTTCTCCAGAACCCCTTGAGGTACAGGCCTCGGAAGAAGTTAGCGACCACTCAGGTCACATTGATCTGTCAATGCCCCCCAATGACCAATGTTGGCGGTGGCTTACATGAGTTGCACTTCGACCTCAGTCTTCCCCGCGCGTGCCAACTTCGACTGTGGGGGAGAGGGGGAGCTCCACGAGTTGTTTCCTTCTACCGCATGGAAAAACAAAAACACGACGCCAGGCTCTTCGCTATCTTCGGCCTCTGAGAGGCCCTTGCCGGGCCTCGAGGCCATCAAAAAACGACACGGGATGAGAAACTGGTCCTGGGGAGTCGGTCGAGACCTTATGACGTCGGAGGTCTGGGCTCAGGGGTAGGGCAGAGGGGGCGGGGTGGACCTCCTTGGGAGGATCTCGGACGGCTGCCTCGGCATTCCGAGAAGCTTTCTAATATCCTTCTCCAGAGCCCCGCCGCCCTCTGAGAAGGCCTGCACCCTCTAACTTCCCCGTCGGAGTGCCTCCGAGAGAAGTGCCAAGAGGCCGGAGCACGCGTGCGTACGAGTGCCGAAGTATGAGCGGCGCTGGGCGGCTGAGCACGAATGGGCCTGGATGTAGTGAGGCGAGTCCGGGTGTGAGTGGGCCACGAAGCCCGTGATGCACCGCTGGTCGGCACCCCCGTGGGCGGCCAAAGGGCAGTGCTTGCTGCATTGTGGTGCTCATGCGGGTCGTCACTGAGAGACATCTACCCCCAAAATCACATGTATCGCGCAAGACGTTCCTACCATCAGGGCGCGAGCGGGCCCAGGCAGCATCCTTTGGCGGCGCCCACTTCGGTGGCCAAAACACCATGGCTGCTGTGTCGCGGTGGACATGGATGGGGCTGTGACTGGAAACGCGTCGACTTCCGCCATATCGCGAAGGTCGTGGGGCCCACAATAGAAACACGAGAGATCCCCGCAATCTGGACACGAACAGGCCCGTGCAATATCCCTTAGCGGCTCCCCCTCGGGGGGCCTTAGTGCAATGCCTGCTACATTGCGGTTGTCAGAAAGCGAACAATCTGGCCGCTAACGGGCCCGGTGGTACTCGGTGATAAAAACAATGCAAGTCGTAACAAGCAAAACAAGAGCCCAATCATCGCCAATCGACAAAATGGTCGAAGGCGGTACGGACGAAAAGACTCGTCACTTCTGCTCCATAGAGCCCCATCCCTTGCCCCCCATCTGCCCCCCAGACCTTCGCCTTACCCTCGATGGCCTTGCTGCGCTGGCGCGCAGCAGGTCATTCAAAGGATCAGAGAGGAAGGACGAGGGGAAGAGCAGATTTAATGGTGGAGTGGGGAGGCGTCTCCAATGGAGGCAGACTCTGAGCGCGCAGCCTGTCCTCGGCCACGTTCGTCGGACAACCCTGCCCGTCGCGTGCTGGCCGGTGTGTGTGTGTGTGATTGTGCATGTGTGCAGAAGCTACGTCTTCACGAATGCGCCCATACACCCAACGTGACATGTCGAGGCTGAAAGCCGTAACGGTCCAGAACATTACGGGCAGACGAAGGCGGACAAATCCTGCCCCCCTTGACGCCCCAGAGAAATCCCGTTTGCAGCTGAAGCAAGGTAAGGTGTCCAGAATTCCCTTCGCCAGGGGAGGCTGCGAGGGAGAAGGGGACGTGGATGGCCGAGGATGGGGAGGGAGAGAGAGGGCCACTGGAATTACCGGGCCGACCGACCGCTACGCCGTCCCGGTGGGCACTGGGGTTAAAAAACAATCAGATGTGCCCGGTAACCTGCCCCGTCTGAGCTTCCGCAACTCCGATGAAACGGTGTTGAGACAAGGCTTCAGCAGCTTTGGCCGTTTCACTGCGCAGGGACACCCCCGCACCGATTGCAGAAGACTGTTGGCAATTTGGACTTGCCGGCCCAACCCCACCATGAAGGCATGGTGGAGCCTTGGTCCGTTACCTATGGCTTCTTGGATATGAGTCGCTACCTGTTGGCACCCCTGCCGGGTGCCAGGCTTCAGCCTTTTGTTTAAACAAATGGAAGCGCGAAGCCCCTGACCTTGCCCCGGCTGGCACGTGGCAGTTTAAAATGGACGGTCTCTGCTCCTGGGGGGCCGGGGCTGCGCTTCGGGCCACATGTCCGTGGCCCTGGGCCACTCCCCTAGGATCCGACCTACCCCGTTGAGCAGGGCACTGTAGGCCTGGACAGCCTCCACGTGGGCCTCCGCATCTTGCCTGGATAAGGTACGCTTTCGGGCAGCCTCGCCATCATGCCAGTCCACAGCCTTATTGCCCAACCACTCGCCGAACTCACTGTCCTCGACGTTGGCCCTGTCGCAGTGCGCATTGGTCTTGCGCGGCTGCGTCCACTGCTCGGGCGGAAGGTGGAGCTCAATACTTCTCCAGAGTTCTCCAAAGAAGCAGTTGCCTGCTAGTACGGCGCCTGGGGAGCGGGTGCCTTTAAGCTTTAAGTAGGGCTGCGCAATCCACCACAACAGGTGCTGACCTAAGAAATGTCGAACAGATATGGGCTATGGATAGCCCCGCGCTTTCGTTATGAGCAAGGGTCTGAGGGAAGCAGGCAGAGGGGACCTTCCTGCCAAGAAGAGCTCCCCTTCGGCATTCAATTGAACCACTGCCAAACACCCCCTGCTGACTTCAAGGTGTAATGGGTCTATGGTGGACCGGTCAACACAGACAGGGATGTCGGGGTCAAGCACCTTTCCCCGCCACGGCCCATGTTGGTCTAGCATTTCGATGTTCAAGTCCTGCGATGGCCTGGGGACCTGACGTTTTGCAGCCTACAATTTGGAAAATAATGGATGAGTTGGGTGCGCGATTGCTTCTTCCAAGATGTACCCACGTACTTCCGAATGCATACTTTGCCCATGCGGGCATTCCCGAATTCGATGACAACAAATATCAGGGCGGCCGCAAGAGGAGCAATTTCCAACGTCTGACTGCGACAAGAGCGCCGCATAATACCTTCTGGACAAGCTGCTGTTCCCTGAAGCTCAGCCGTGCTAGAGAGAGCTGTCTCTGGAACAGGTCCGACCATATGCCAGAGGTTGCAACATCGGCGTCGGCAGGTACCTTTATCTCATCATAGTTCTGGGCCAAACTGTCTTTGAACTGCTTGTGGAACTCGGTGCTAATCCTTTTCGGCGCTGCCCAACAAATTCCACCCCCTACCATCTCTACATTCCAGCTTCGCTGCTGCCCTAAACTTCCAGCCAACATGGTCCACACACAAGAGAAGAAGCCATTTGACCTCGCACTTTACCATGCCATGTTGTCTTGCTGCTGCTATCTACATCGTGGACTGCATGTTCGCCCGCATTTCGAAACTCCCTGGCCGACAGGGCGTCGGCTGAAGCCTGTAGCCCATTCCTAATCGAGCTGCTGCCCCACCATTCCATGGCGTACCGTTCAACACCGGATCCTTGTCCGTGATGGTGCTCCAGTGGCAGTGCTCCACCATAAGTCTAATTTGGCTGCTTTGACCCTGTTCATCAGCTGCTTGGCTTTGTTCCCCGGAAGGTCGCGCACCTTCTTCTGCCTGGAACGCAGTTTCAACCGTCGCTTTCTCCGCATATGGCGGGCCCAAGGGCGTCGCTGGTGCTTCCCACAGGTGTCATCGATCGCTAGATTGACTGCTGCTTGGCTCGCTCCCCCTCCGAATTGACCCAGGCGCTTTACCGCAAAAGTGAAACACCTTCGAAGGACTGCCCACCATGCAAAGCTTGCGGGTGGCCAGAGAGAGCGGTGTAGTTTGCCTACTGTCTGGCGTTGGATCGCCGCGAAGGTGTTCATCTGGTCGATGACGCAATTCAGGCCCCACCCCCAAGACACCAAGGTAAAGTCATCTACGTGCGCTATGCTGCCAATATCTTATACCATCTGGAGACTTCCCAAAACAAGCGTTTGAGATAAGCTTTCGCCTCGCACGCGACACCAGAGCCCCCTGCCGCACTCCCTCTCTGTGGATGTCTGGCTTTGGACGCGTTTCCATCTAAGAGCAACCTGCGCGGCC